GCTGCAGGTGGGACAGCTGATTGATCGCACGGGAGCTCAGTGGAGAGGAGCCCCGTGGTGGGGAGAAGAGAGACGCTCGTCATCCCTCAGCACGGCTCCCCGATGAGCACTGGGAGGAGCTAGAGTTTGAGGTAAAGATGCGACAGGCATTCACGGTGGGGGTCCCAGGGTAGGCACAGGTGGCGGCGAGGCGGTTCTGGGAAGGAGTGATCTGCAGACACTATGAGCTTGGGCCATGATCACCATGTCCCCCAGCCTCGCCCCTGCTCACCCTCCAGCCGGCTGAACCTGTCAGGGACAGGAGAAAGGTGTCTCTCCCTTGTCTGTGAAAGCCACCTGGTGAGGCTGAGCCACCCTCAGTACTTGGCACAGATCCCTCCTGTCCCCAAACACTCATCAGGGTTGATGCGTTGAATGGTGAGGCCTTAGGGTTCGGTCTTTATCCCCTGCTGGGGGAGGCTGCCTAGACCGCAGGGTGGGGCTCACAGCTTAGACTCCCTAAACCTGGGGGGGGATGGGGGCTCTCGGGTCCTGTCTGTGCTCTGGGAAGAACAATTCTCCATAATAAAAGTACAAGTAAGTGCATTCATTTACTAAAGGCTCACCACTTGCTTTTAATATATGAACGCACTAATTCCCACGAGGTTAAACCCCCTTATCAACTCTTCATTCAATGAACTGCCCTGAGCACCTGCTCCATTCAGGCTCCATTCAGAAAGCCCAGGCTACAGCCCTGACCCGGACCCAGTGCAGACCAATTACTGGCTGCGGGAAGCGAACAGCCCAGGTGCACCAGCCTCCCGGACTCCCGAAAAGAGCCTCAAGGCCAGATTTCACCCGGGCGCACCCCGCCACGCCACCACCACCTGGCCTCACACTCCGTAACCCGGGCCTGCACCGCCACCTGGTGGTCACATTGGAAAGGGCTCCGCTAAGGGCAATCGCGTCCGCTACCCCTCTCTCGTTTGAGGACGTCATCACTTGGGGGTGGGAACATGCCTCCTGGGTCCCTCTGGGGGGAGCGGAATAGGTGTGGTCTCTCAGGGGGGTCATTGGCAGCACCATTAGCCTGGGGATTTTCGCAGAGCAGTGTCTGACAGTCCCCTTCCTCCACCGGCACCAGCACGGCTGACAAGGGGGTCCCCAGTAGAGAAGCGTGGCTGTGGCACGTAGGGCTGGCCCAACGCAGTGCAGGCTCTCCATGCTTGTGGGGTCACCTGGTGACATCTCCACCGTTAGCGTCCTGGCTGTGAGGAAGCTCATCTCCTCATCCCTTACGACTTACCTCCTGCCCAGGCTGAAATGCCCTTGGTCACCTTGTGTCCAAATCCAGTGCAAGGCCTAGCACAATAAAAGCCTTGCCCTGCCCCAGTCGGGAGTGATGAATCCCCCTCCGAATTTTCCTGCCACCTCACCTGCTTCTCTTGTTGCTTCCGGATGGGTGGGTCTCTTCCGAGGCCATCCCCATCTGCGTGCTCCTCGGCTCGGCTCCGGAGTCTGGCGGAGGGCCTGATGTGGACGAGTTGGGGACGTTTGAAGAGAATGAATGAGCGGTAAGAGGAGGAGGCAGCTCTGTCTTCAGAGAACATTCTTTCCTTCTTCGGGAGTCTTGGATGTGAGCTCTGGGGTTAGCCCACCTCCTGTCAAATCTGGGTCCTGCCCTGTGCTTAGCAAACCTACTGCTCCGTGCCTCGGTTTCCTCATCAGTAACATGAGGGCACGAGTGGTGCCCAGGCTCTCGGGGTGCTGCGGGGTTAATGGGCTCCGATTCCGCCTGCAAGTGCCTCAGGGGAGGAGAGGGTCATGCACGCAGCTCAGTCCGAGCACCCACGGGGGTTTGCAGCAGGAAGCCTGCCCTCCTCCTTCACCCAGGGCTTCAGAGGGTCACCGTTCCAACCTATTAATGACACTGCTAAGTCCCTAAGTCTCTCCTAGTCTGGTGTTCTCAGCCTTTGCCCGGTAAAGGGCATCTCAGTACGCTCTGGCCAAGGCAGGGCCCCACACTCGCAATGCTTGACCTTTTGGCAATGGAGTGGGGTAGGGCAGGGGTTCTGCCTGCTGGTCTCTGACCTAGAGGGCTGGGACTAGGATGAGGCAAGTGAGGCACGCAGGGCACAAGTTTAAAGAGGCACTCACGCTCAGGTTGGTCAAGTGCAGCGTCAGCGCCTGAATGAGCAGCTCTTTATGCTTTGAACCCGTGATCCCCATTCACCTCGCCCTAGTCCTGGCCCTACCCTATAGGGACTTCCGTGTGAGGGCTGCTCTCCACACTACATGGAGGAGAGGCTGCGTGCCAGGAAGGGAGGCGAGGGTGGGGCCCCCAGGCAGGTGACCTGGCTGAGGGTGACCCCCGCAGGAAGGCATCCTGTAGTGCCTGTAGGTGCCAGCAGGTGGCAGCATGGGCAGGCATCGGAGGCTGGAGGAAGATTGGGGAGCCAAGTGTTTGGGATAGGCTCAGCATCCTCCTGTTTCCAGACTCCTTTCTGGAATGGTGCAGAAGAAGAGCCTGATGACCCGTCTCTTCTCTTTAAGATGGGTGACAGTATGCCCTTGCGAAGGGCAGTAGAGATAAAGTGAGATTGTGCCAATTGAGGGTAACTGTTACTAGGATCAGATTCTGGCCCTCGAGGCAGCCCAAGGCCCAATGCCAAGGCCCCTTCTGGTCGTTGTCCAGCCCTGGGTACCTGTGGGGAAGACTGGGCTGGCGCTCCCTGCTTGAGCTGGTCCACTGCATCTGGCACGTAGCATGAGCTCAATAATGTGTTGTCGCTATTGCTATTATTATTGGCATTATTATTACCCTGAGCCCCTTTATCATGTATTGCACCCCCAGGAAGTAAGCTGACTACCCCTCCTAATCCAGGCCGCCAGGCCCCCAGCAGAAGTGCACCAGGGCTGGTGGGTGGGGACGGCCAGGGCGAACACCTCCTCCTCTCCTGTTCCACCAGAGGCCAGAGGACGGGAGGCCCATCAGCTCCAAGGGCTAGGACATCTGTTGTGCCCTCTCTACATTCTCGCAGGCCAGACCTCAGGGGCAGCTGGGTGTAGGAGAAGCTGAGGGGACCAGCTGGGCCTCAGGCTGGTTGTCACTGGGAGACAGTGAAGATGCCCCAGCAGGTGGGCACATCCGCCCACATTGCCATCCAAGGAAGGCAGAAGCCAGTGGTGTGAGATGGGGGACTGGATGCTCCTTGACAGTGGCCTGTGGGGCTAGGGCAGCTCCTGGTGGGAGATGCTGGCACCCGGGGACTAACCCCCAGGGATACCGAAGGATGGCTGGAGATGTTTATATAAAGATACAGACATGTAGTGAGTGTGTGTTGTGTGTGTGATTACACACACAACACACACAACACACACACTCATTCTTTTTTCCTTTTTGATGTTTGTCTCCTCCCATCTTGAATGGAGATGCAGCGACTGGACAGCTTCACTGACAGGACCGTGTGCCGGGCCCATGGTGGGGTTTGGTGACGTTTCTGGAAGGAAATCATGTCAAGATCAGACTGCTCTACTGGAGTTTCTGGGCCGCCCCCACGAGAACGTTCCTTTGCATTCCGAAGGCATCCCTTGTGTCTGCCTGCAGCCAGGCAACGAGATTATTGTATTCACTGTGGCTCGAAGGTGACACTTCACTTTATTAAACAAGGTGGCCTCTTCTAATGGCAGCCATCCATGTCCACTGATACTACCCACTGCGAACGCCAGAGCCATAGCTTCGGCCCCGAAGCCCTGGTGGCTGTTCACGAGGACGGGTTTCACTTACTGGTGTGTGTGTGTGTGTGTGTGTGTGTTGGGCAGGCAGCATTTCCCAAGAGGCTCCCTTCAAGGGTCAATTTCAGGAGCAGTAATGGGAGGCAGGTGGCTCTATCTCACTCCATCTGCCTGGCTGAGGGCAGAGAGAAGAGTCCTGATCATCCCACCAGGCCCAAGGTCACACAGAGGACATGTCAACCAGAACCTTTCGCTCCTGTCATATTTATTGATCCCGCACTGTATGGAAGCCCTGGGAGCTTGTGGGGAACTTGGTTTTCCTCCAGGCCTGGGGAAGAGCTAGAAAACAGAAGGTGGGTGAAAGAGAAGAGGAGGTGACCGTGAGGGGACAAGCTGCCCTGTGTCCATCAGCTAGCCAGACCCGTCCACCGGGAAAGGGGCATGGAGCAGGCAGTGGGGGACAATGAGCACGGGGGGTCCTCCTGGGGCCCCTATCCCCAGGCCTGGTCCTTGGGTGGCAGCCTCACTCTTCAGGCCCTGTTTTCCGAGGGTCCCCAGACATGGGGTCTTCTGCAGCTCCCATATTCTTGGGCAGAGGAGCTACCCAAAAGGGTGGGAGTGCCTAGCCCACCCACCCCTCTCCTCTCAGCCCCTGAATCCTTCTGCCCATCTGCTGAGGGTTGCCACTGACAGGCCCAGCTGTCTAACCCCGCTGTGGGTGGCCCACAGGGTGCTTGGGATCCTCCTCCTTACTCAAGCCCGTCCTGCAGCCCCTACCTCCAGCCCAGGCCTTCCCCATGGAACTGGGGGGCTCACCCTCTCCTCATTTCCCTTACATCAGCCTGAAGGCTCAGCTCTCTAGGGGAGGGTCTGGGTCATTTAGAGCAGGACTTTCAGTGCTAAAGTTGGGACAGTCCTGAGAAAACCAGGAAGGCTGGTCACCCTTTTTGTGTTTCAGACCCAGCTCCCATGTGTCCTGAGGGGCCACACCTCCTCTGGCCCTTGGGGCTCAAGCGCCCTCCCTTCTCTGGTCCATAGCTCCTGTTCACTTGGCCTCTCCACCCCAGAGGATGGCAGGCTCTGTGACTGCATTGCACAGTTGACGTGAGGTCCCAGAGCAGCTTCGAACTCAGGGCCAGAGGCATTTCGTCAGATGCATCAAGGAAAACCAACTGGGCTGCTTGCTACCCATCGGCTGGGATCCGAGCGACTATCCCCAGGTCCCCAACAGCCCCTCACCCATTCCCCGGAGTTTCACACCCCAAGTATCACAGGCTCACGCTCTCTTCGTGTAAACATCTTAATAACGTCTTTAATGCTCTCACATGGAGATGCTGTGAATTAAATTACAGCTTCTGTGCATCCTAAATTACTCACAGCCCTCCAGTGGTTCAAGTGATAACGTATTTATAGCAACTAGAGGAGGGAATACATCCAGCATCTTCCCCATGTGGTCCACCCAGGCCCTCGCATCCTGACACGTGGTATTTGCCCAGCCGAGTTGTACATGCTGTGCCCACGTCCCCTCCAACCAGCGGAGGACAGTGATGATGACAAGGCTGGGCATGGGGGACAAGCTTCTGTGCGTGCTCGTGTATGCTGCATACCCAGCGCAGAAAACGTGCCCAGCTCTTGGGGTCTGGCTTGGCCCTATGCCTTGCCCACAGGCCCCAGACCGGTAGAATTCCTGAGGGACACGGGGCAGGTGGACAATGAGTGGGTGGGAGATGCAATCAAAAAACAGACTAGGTTTCTTGGGTCTGTTTCCCAAGGGGTGATCCCCATCCCGTTTCAGGCAGTCAGTTTCTCTCATGAGCCCCCAGCCCATGACCACGGCCCTTGGACCCCCAGCGCCCCCAGCCCTAGGTCTCCAGTACACAGCAAGACAGGGGACCGTTCGCAGGAGCGGCTCCCCGGCTTTCAGACCCAGTGACGAAACGCGGTGGGAACCGGCGCCCTCGCCCTCTAGCTCCCTCTCCCTTCATCCCTGCACGCTGAAGGCAGAGAAGGTGGCCCCCGCCACGCCACGCTCCTCCACACACCCCGGGGTCGCGACTGGAGAACGGAGCCAGTGCAGGGGTCTGCCTCCCGCCCCCCGTGCTGGGATGGGCACGTCCCCACGGGTCATGTTTATGCACCATGCCCAAGGCCGTTCAGCGGGTCTGGGCATGCACGGCATCTGTCCCCCCACTTCCACACCTGCCCCACTACTTCCCTGTCCCTTCAGCTCCTGTCCTAGCTCGGGCCAACCAACAGCGGGCTGCCGGGAAGGGGCGGCTGGGAGACCTCATCCGCGCTGCGATATGGCCCTACTTTGGGTACGAGCGGCCCTCCTCCCGGCATCCTCGCCCGCTGGGCAGTACAGCGCCACACCCGGGTGTCACCACGCCCTGTCCTCCAGACCTGGCTGGTTACCTCTCCACCCCAGAGGCTCCGGATCGCAAAGACAGGTCTCTCCCTGACAGAGGGGCTACCTGCCCCTCGCTCCTCCCCACCCGCCCGCGCCTTCCTTACTTCCTGCGCCTCCCGGGAGGGGTCTGGGCGGGACATGAGGGAGCCCGCAGTGGCTCCCGACTTTCCTGACAGGAGGGACGCTCTCCACGCTGGGGCTCTTACATCAGGGGACATCGGTGGCCAGATGTCCAGCCGGGCCAGGGGCCTCTCTAGGGCCTGGAGAGTCAGTAGGTGGGTCCTCAGAACAGCTGGGTCCTCGGCAGCGCAGGTCCTGAGAGAAGGCAGCTCTGAGGGCATGGAGGCAGTTGTCTTCCTCAGATGCCCAGGCCCGTCCCTGGGCCACTTACGCGTGGATGGCACTGGCCACGTCAGTGAACACCAGCCGGCTGGGCCTCTGCAGCGGGCCCTGAGAGGGGACAGTGGTCTGCAGGGAGAGAGCCATGGGCATCGGGGACTTTGGCCACGGCCGTGCACTCTCTGGCCCAGTCACCTCTGCCCTCACTGTCGGGTGCCTGCCTGCACTTGGCATCAGCTGCGCCTTCTGCCTAGATATAGCTCTCCCTGCGAGCTCGGCCTGGAAACTGGACCTGGCTCAGACGACCCCTCCCCCACAGCGACCTCAGCCTGCCCTGGCAGCACGTACCCCGCAGGCCCAGGGGCTGGATTAATTACGCAGGCACCAGCCTCTCAGCAGAGCAGGGCTCACAGGGGCTGGCACAGGGAGGTGCACAGGAAACTACTGGTGATTGGTCAGTAGTCATGTGGACTGGGGGGACTACCCCGAGTGGGGAACATGTCCTAATCTAGGTGACACAGGACTGGTGGAAAAACCAGGGTGTCTCTGTATTCCCAGCCTGGACTTTTCCTGAGTCCATTCTCCTAATTCTGCCTCTGTTGGGGCCAGATGCCCCAGCAACCTTTGGGGTCAAGGGAAGGATGGGTGCAAAGGGGCTTCAGGGGGAGACCGGGCCTCCTCATGGTGCTCTGGCCCTTGGGGACTCGGGGGACTGGTGGCAAGAGGCCAGGCAGCCAAAGGCTCTGGCAAGATGACCACACAAGTACCTGACCCTTTGGACATAGGAGGCGAGTGTGCCTGGATCCCCACATGCCCGGGGTCCGTCGGTTACTAGGAACCCATCGGTCTACTCAGAGGTGACAGTGCCTCAAGTGACCCCAACCACAAGCCACTCAGGACCAGGGACCCTCAGGGAGCAGAGGAAGCCAGGGGCTCAGCTCCCAACAGTTCCCCCAGCAGCCCTCTCTTTTCTCCGTCAGTACGTGAAGCACGGAGCAAGAACTCGGGTTTCCCCTTGCAGATGAGAAGCTGGGGCTCGGAGAGGCCAGTGGGTGCCAGGGCTGACCTGGCCTGGCCTGGCCTTTCACGGTGAGTCTGTGGGTGGCCACAGAGCAATTCTACCCATTTCTAAACAAACCTGACAAAACCCATATACCCGACAGCTGCCGCCTGCCCACGTGGCAGGTGCTGGAAAGCTGCCTGAGGAAGGAGAGTCACGAGCAGGCTGCGGGCTGGGGGCCGCGCGGCCCGTGCTCACCTTGCCCTGTAGCGCTTGCACGGAGGCGGCGGCCCTCCCGTGCTCCAGCAGCTCCTGCTCCAGTTCGTCGTGCTCCTCCGTGGGGTCGAAGCTGTACATGGGCATGAGCTGGTGGCGAAGCTTCTCCAGCCTGCGGGTGGGGTCAGAGGCTGCTGGGGGGCAGGGCCGGCCCTTCCCCTCCCACCAGCCCCTTGGGCGCTTGGGGACTGACCAGCTGAGCCACAGCACTCACCCACGTTTAGGGCCCTAAGATTTTTCCCTCGGGATGAAGTGAAAACCATTTCTGTACCTATCGTACCAGCTCTACCTCTCAGATGGGGAGCCTGAGAGGGACAGTTACCCATTCCTGGGCCCAGCTGGGGCCATGGACCACAGAGCTGTCATCTGTGGGGTCCACGGGGGCTGCCTAGGCCAGGGCCTTGTGTTATCCACAGACTCTGGGTGGCTGGAATGAGGGGAGGGGGTCAGTGGCAGTTAGCCAAGGGCAGCGGGGCAAGGGTGGCTGGGCAGCTGGGCGGAGGTAATGCCGACCTCCTCCCCTCCCCAGGTCATGCCTGCCTGCCCTGCCTGTGACATTCTGGGGGTGGGGTGCTCAACCCTCCTTGAGAGAAAGTGGCCACCCCCTACCCTGAGTAGGCAAAGGAAGCCCTGACTCACTGGTCAGGGAGAGGGGTGCGGATCTGGGGGGCTCTCCTTTCCCACCCACATCCCCGGGAGCTCAGCCCAGCACTGCCCATGGGCTGGAGTTTTGGGTGGCAGCTGGGGAGTTACCTCTTCTTCTTCCTGATGTATAAAACCTGCAAGAGAAGGACCAGTGTCAAATGGCCAGGGACGGAGGCCCTCAGCAGTCCCTCGGGACAGGAGACACACTGAGGCTGATGGATGTCAAACTGTGGGGCCTCGTGTCCTTAGGGAGCCCATCCTGGGGATGCCCACATCCAGATTCATGCCTCCCTTTGAGGTTTATTATATGCTGACAGTGCCTGCCCTCCAGGAGCCCAGTCTGGGAAGATCACAGTCAGGCCTGGCCTGGGGGCCGGTGGGCCCCACCTTTGCTCTACTGACTGCGGCTCCAGGCACTCGGCGCCTGCCTGGCACTCCTCGGGCTGAAGGGGAGGGGCAGACTTCAGCACACCCCCCCCCCCTTTCAACTTTTGCCTAAAGACATGAATGGGCAAAAAGAACGGGAGACAGGCAGTGGCTCTAGGCAAAGCTCTGGGCTGGGCTCCTGGGGTTTCCAAGGGAGGCTGGTGGCCCTCAGTGGATAGGGGCTGGGAGGAGGGCCTGAGCCCCTGGACATCAGCCCAGAACAAACTCCAGTATTCCAATGCTGGAGGAACCAAGGAAGGCCCCCGGGCCCTAACCCCCACTGTGAAGACTCGAAGGTAGAGAGAGGCCTTGGCAGCCTGGGAGAACACCCAAGACCCAAGAGCTCTGGGCTGGAGCAGGAAGTCCTGGTCCGAGCACTGAGAGGAGGGAGGAAGACAGTGACCACTGGGCAGTGACTCCAAGGACCTCTGCCACCATCTTGCTCTTCCCTAGACGGGCAGTGTCTGACTACCAGAAGCACGATTTTACGCCTGGGGGAGAGCCACGTCCCTGGAGTCTGCCCCAAACCCTCTGTGGCTCTCACACTCTTTGTGGCCTATTTATAGCTTGAATCTGATTTGGTTTCCAGGCTGGCCCAGAGCTCCTCCTGCTGCTCGCTCCTGGGGGACCCCACAGGCCTAAAAAAACCTGAGTTGTCCCCTGTTCCCTCATCCCCTCCAGGGGTCACATGTGGGTGGTGCCCCTTGCTCTCTGGTGGGTGGGACGGAACAGGAGGTTCGAGCGCCTGGCTCAGCCCCTGTTCACCCTGAACCAGCAGCTCCAGCCCTGCCCCAAACCCTCCTCCTGGCCCTGTGGCCCTGTGACACCAAGGGTCTTCAAGAGAGGCCAGAACCTTTATCTCCATGCCTTTTCCCTGCTGCTCCCTCCAAAATATTTCCTTTCCAAATCTTCCACACCCCTCACTGTCCAGCTGCAGCCTCACTTCCTCCAGGAAGCCCTCCCCCATTGCTTCATCAGTGTGACATACAGCCTGGCACTGATTTGATCCTCCTTTTACCCAGCATGCCCAGCTCAGGGCTGGCATGAGGGGAGAGGAAGCAGCACTCAGGGAACATCTCTGGACCTGTCCCCTGGTGCCCAGGAGCTTTGTCTGCTCTCTACTGTCCCATCACCCCCTACCTCTCTGCTTGTGGCAAGAAGGCTAACTACTGTGGGCCTCTGAATGTTCCTCCAGAACAAGGCGTAAGGGAATCCTCCCAAGCTCCTGGGATGAAATCTTTCATGGAGTGTTACAAGGGCAGGTTACTGGCCCTGCTTGGCCCCTGGGGTTAGGGTGCCTTGGTCTGTTTAACTACCACAGGGGTGCCAAGCGAAAGTGCTGGCATTCTGCCTCGCCCTCCCCAGGAGACTGCTCAGGCCCCGGCCTCGCTCTGTGTTGCATCCTGGCCCTGCGTGCTGGCCAACAGTTGTTCCCTGGCAGCAATCCGGAGCCTGCGGGACCCATATGGCAACTCCGGTTAAACAGCAGCTCCAGCCAGGCCGCGGAGGGACCACCTAGAGCCCTGTTTGTCAGAGAGACGTGCTCCTGAGCCTCAGGCCAGCCATTAGAGCCTGAGAGGGGCAGTGGGCAGAATGCCACCATTGCCAGGCCTTTTGAGGGAACGCAGGTACCCCCTTACCCTTCTTGGTCTCAGCCTGCACAATCTCTAGTGGCACGTCAGTGACATTCTGAGTTTCCACGTATCATCCTAGAGGAAGAGCCCATATCTTCAGGGGCAGGTACCAGATCTGGAAGCATTCTAACCATCATCATCAGGGCACTGCAGCCCTCACCCTGGCACACCTCTGTCCTGATGTCTGCCCAGCTCTGCCCTTCTTGTGACGTGGGGGCCAGGCTTCCACCTTGAGGTCTCTAATGTTGCCTCCTTGGTTGGCTCTGACCACCCAACCTAGAAAGTCCCCCTGTCCAATTCCTCAACCCAGTCTCGCTGGGCTTCCCTTGGCACCCTTGGTTTTATCTGTCTCCTACTCCCCATAAGAACCCAGGGCAGGAACTTGTCTCTCTGGTCCCTGGGGTCCTGAAGGCTTGATCCAGGGCAGGTGGCCAATAAATCATTGCCAAGTAAACGAATGAATAGAGACTGCCAGTGGTGTGCCATGCCCAGAGCACCCCACTCGGACTCCGCAGCCCAGATCGGTCCCGGTCACCTCTGGCCTCTACTCCTACTGCACCCCAACGCTCACCTGCCTCACTGTTTTGCTTGCTGCTCACAGAAACTCCTGCCTGCCTCCGAACTTTTGCCCACCAGGAACCTCCACCTGGAGCACCTCCCCAACTCAACTCCTATGTGGCCTTTATGGCCCAGCTCAAAATGCCATGTATTTATTCCTCAGAAACTTCTCTGGTTCTTCCACGCCTCTCTGGTCTCTGGGTCCCAGTGGGCAAATCCCTGGGAGAAGGGGAGGATTGCATTATCATTGCCTTTGATTAGATCATCTAAAATCTAAACACTGACCACCTTCTTGCAACCGAGGGCCATGTGGGCCAGCCCCAGCCTGACCCAGTTCTCACCATGGCCACAGCCAGGCCAATCACCGTGATGATCCCAAAGGACAGAAGCATTGTGCCCACACCGGCTGTGCCACCACCCATGTCAGGGATTCGGGTGTCATTAAAGCTGGTGGCTTCTGGGCTGAGGGTGGTGGTCTCAGAGGCTGGCCCATCCGTGGCAGATTCCAGGTTAGGCTCAGAGGTGGGTGGGCAGCTGCTGACCCAGCCCCTAGCAGACGGAATCCTGGAGTTCATGCTGACGCTGGGAGACTGCTTGTGGTCAGTCAACCTGCCCATGCACTTCTGACATCAGGAGTGTCCCAGCTTGTGGCCCTGCTGCCTGTGCAGGTGGCCACCTCCTTGGATAAGGGTGAGATGCCTCCCTGGGAGCTGGAAAGGAAAGAATAAAAAACATGAGGCTAAGAATGGGACTTGGCGGTGAGATGAAGCCCCTCTAAGCTCTAAAGGCACTGGAGAAATAAAAGTTGGAGGGCAAAGAGCAAGTTCAGGGGACATCAGGACATGTGCTCTATATAACTGACGTTCTTATGGAGATTTAGAAACGGGAAAATGAAGCCCTGCCCCTCTCTGTGGGTAAGATGACCACCGTGATCATACTTGGAAGATATGAAAGGTAGTGGAGAGCTCAGAAAGAAAGTCTCTCCCCTGAGTAATTCCCTATCCCCCTTCCCTCCTCCCCATGCTGCCCACCCCCTCGCTTTCTGCGCCCACAGCCTTCACCTCCTGCTTGGAGAGAAAACTGCTGTCACTTTTTCCTTTTCTGGAGGGAAATACTAGCCCAAGAATCAGACAGGCCTGTCTTTGAATTCCAGCTCAGTCACTTAACTGAAGGACCCTAGGCAAGTCGTGCCACCTCCCTGTGTCTCAGTTTTCCTGAGTTTAAGTTGGGGATATTACGAACACCTCCCACACAGGGTCAGAGAGTCACGGCAGTGTCAGAATGGACCAGTCCCTAGGAAAGACTTAGCTCTGCACAATCCCTGACCACAGTAAGCACCCAGTAAGATCTCCCCCACTCACCTCAGGAAAGGGGAGCCACAGAAGCCCCTGGACACAGCGCACTCGGAGCAGGGGCGGGGACAGGTATGGCAAGTCTAGAAGACGGGAAGAAGAGAGAGGTTAAAGTCAGGTCCTCCGGCAGGGCTTCTCTGCAGGCTCTTGGGGTCACTGGATGCCCTATAGGGGAGCTAGCAGCTGCCAGGGACAAGGAGAAAAACAAGGGGAGCATATCTTCAGAGGGAGAGACGAAGCTTTCACGCTTTCACGCTGAGGTGCCTTCTCCCATTTCCTCCTCCCTTGGGAGCAGAGGGTGGGAGTGTTACCCAGCCCACGGTGTGGCTTAGGCCTTCCCAGGCCAGAGGGCCCTGATAAGACAGGGTGGGAAGGGGTCTCAGCCAAGCTGCTGGGCAGGCCTAGGTAGAGGAGGGACACACAGTTGCACACATATCTCCCTGTGCGGGGTGCCTCCTTGTGCAGGAGCATGGGTATGTGAGAGGTGTGCCGGCTGCCCAGGAAGGGGCAAGGCTGGCAGATGGACATGGGATGGGAGGGGCTCATCACTCTGCCTTCTCTCTCTCGTGAGGCTGGGCAGGTCGGGAGTCCCAGGCTTTCTTGGCCCTGCCACTGACCCCAGGAGTGACCTTGGGCCAGATCCTTAACTCTTGCTCTGGGGCTCTGTTTACTCCTGTGTCCAAAGGAGAGAAAAGGCCCTTCTCATCACTGTCCAGGACTGCCTCAGGGTCCAAAGGGCAAGAGAAGGAAACCGGGTGAAAGGGGTGGGCGCCACGACCTCCAAGAACCCGCATACCGTTCTCTGCCGGGTTCCTCAGGCCCCCCTGCCTCAATCCCCACGCTTGCCTCCACGACTCTGATTCTTCCATTCTTGTAAAGAAGCGGCGACCTCAGCACTTACTTAATCCTCTTTGGGGCGCCAAGCTCAGCCGGAGAGGCTAGCGGTGGTGGCGACCGACAGGAGGCCGGGGCAGTGGGAGAGAACCCCCAGGCCCGGAGTGGGGAATAGCGGGTCCGCCTCGAGGTCCGCCCTCCTTGTACGCTCCCAGCCGCGCGCTGCGCCAGCTCCGCTACACTGGCCGCAGCCGCGAGCGCGGGTTCTGCCAGCCTGGCGGGGATGAGCAGGGTCGGGACCCACCGCGGGGGTGGGGCCGAGGCGAGCAGCCTCGCGGGCTCGTGACGCTCCAGCGCGTCTCCTCCCTGCTGGTTCCGCGCCCCCGGGCCCCGATTGGCTGTCAGGCCCAGAGCCCGCCCGGCATTGGTCTGCTTGCCTGTCGCTCGGATCTGGCTCCGCCCCCAGCGGGAGCCGAGTGATATTTTCCGAGACCACCCCTCACTCCCGGTGACCTCTGCCGGAGTCCCCCGGGCACCGTGGGTGGCCTGACCCTTTATGGGCCAAAACTCGGGCCCAGAGTAGCCTGGGCTCTACGTCCGCCAAGAGAGACTCGCGCTCCCATAGCGCAGACGGACACGGGAGGATTGATGAGAGCACTGGACCGAGTCCTTGGGCCTGCGTTGAACTCTGGCTCGACCTTTTACTGGCTCTGTGACCTAGAGCAAGATACTTCCCCTCCTTGGGTCTCGGCTTCCTGCTCGGATGGGCTCTGGTGTGAGGGCTTTTGATAAACGACACCCACCTGGGGCTAGAAATGGAGCATATTCAGAGTAGTTGGGAGAGGGATGGTATTTTTGCAGTGGGATTATTGGGCACCCCGACCCAGGCAAGCCTACACATAACCCTCACAATAGCCTCCATCCAGGGTGCCACCAGCTCAGAGGGGCCCTCACATACCTTCTAATCCTCAGATTTTCAAAGGGGTTTATGGGGATCCCCGAAGTAGCTTGTTACAGATACTGATCGCTGTGGCTCCATGGGTCTGGGACGGAGCCCGGGAAATTGCGTGTTTAATAGTAGTCTGGTGAACAGTGGACTAGTTTACAATAGATTCTGGTGGGGGAGGGGGGTGTTGGCAGGCCACACTTTGCGGACACTGCCATGAATTTTATAGGAGGAATTGAGGCCCACGGAAGGCCCAGCACTTGGACAAAGCCTCACGACGAGTTGGCAACGGAGTTAGGATTCAAACTCTGGTCTCCTACGTCCGGTTTCGAGCTCCCTGTTCCAAACCCTAAAGCAGGAGCGAGACCGTCAAGAGCCGTCTTAGGGTCCGGTCGCTAGCTGGCGTCCCCGCCGCGGTTCGCACCATTCCTTTACCCTGGTCCTGGACTCTGGGTCCCGCCCCCCAAATTGGTACCCCAACGCTGAGACCCACCCACGTGCAGCTCTACCCGCCCATAAGCTCTGCTAGACCACGCCCCTACACTTCGGCTGGTGACACGCCTCCTTTCCTGCTGGCTACACGTGGCCCCGGCCGGGTACCCAAGCGCCAACTTGGAGTAGTCACTGCGGGCTGGAGCCATGACCTTCAAGAAGATTGGCCGGTCTGGGCCCCCAAGGAGTAACCCCACACAGTCATGCACTTTCTTAAGAGTGGACCTGCGGACGTAGTGGGCGAGGCGTTCACAGTTTTCCCAGCAGCAACCCAGTGGCTCTAGGAACCTTGGAGCTGGGCGACGGGATCCGCCCGAGCCCTTTCTCAGCTGCGCCGACCCCGGAAGCAAGGCATCGGAGGGAGCTCACCGTGGGCCACGCACGTCCGGGAGCCGATCCCCGGGCCTTTTCTCCAGGTCGGCGGGCAGGTCTGGTACCCCCTCCCGCGACAGGTATGCGCTAGAGGTGGGGATCGAGATGGGCTCCCCTGGATTGTATCACCTTCGAAGACCCCACACCCCCCAATTCACCATGGTACATATGAAGAAATAGGCTTGGGGTGAGGCGACCTCGCCTGGATCATTAACGTTGCTGTGCTGGATTGAGAGGGAAGCTGCGTCCCTGACTTAAGGCCTGAGCTCCTCCTGGGGCAGCGCCTTCTCTGGAGTCTGGAGGACCTAGCTTTGTCTTGCCTAGGACAGTTACAAGGAAGACTTTGGGTAAGTCACTCGCTGCCTCGCAGCCTCCTTTTCCTCCCTGCTTGTATCGGAAGATGTGGCACCTAGCAGATGTTCAATAAGCACTTGTTTGGACCTTGGTCTATGTGAAAGGAAAGGGGGCCACTGATTTTAAACTTTCGGTTAAACTTGTTGGTGATAACAATTATAAAATTAACAAAAATTGTTAATTCTTTAGCTGACAGTTTATGCTGACATTTAGGATTATGGATCTGATGGCGGGGCATGGCATTTCAGCATCCAAATCAGTGACAGTATGAGCAAAATATCAAAAGCAAACCCCCCCAAGCCAAGGCAGCCGCCTCTCCCTTGTAACATTAGTTAATAGCATATAACTCTGAGTCCCTTTTGTCTGTTGAGCTGGCTCCCGGACCCTTGACGTTCATTGACTAACGCACTGCTCATCATGAAGTCGGTATTATTTTCCCCATTTTATGGTCAGGGAAACTGAAACTCAGAAATAATGACTTTTCCAAGGTCACACACTCTGGGTCAAACAGATCTGTCCAGCCTCCCAAGCCTGAGCCCTGACCCACCAACAGCCCATTTTATCAGCAGGGACTGATGACCTATGGGTTCAGCCCACTTCAGCCAGAAACGTGAAGAAAACATCACTGGCCAAGACCAGAAGAATCAAACAGGTGGGTCGGCATCTAAAATGGAGTCAGGGAGATGACAGAGCAAGAGCGTGCCCTCGCTCAGGCAGCAGGCAGGTCAGAGGGGAATGTATCACATAAGACTCAGCTGCTCTTCTGGTTCTGTCTGTCAGGGTGGCAGCACATCTGAGGACCAGAGCCACTTTAAGGAGCTAGAACCTGTGACCTCTCCATCTCCGCTAAGCTGGGGCCAGTGACTTTCCTCTACAGCTGACATCACAAAGAAGACTTGGGGACCTGGGAGTGCTCAGAGGAGCCTTCCCCTGAGACATGAAACTTTGGGGTGGAATGCTGCGGGCCTTTCTATCTGGCCCCGGGAGGAGGGGAGGCACTTGGGGCCAGGCCTTCAGCTCATGGCAACCGCATCTGCCTCCAGCTGGCTCGTTGAAGGCCACAGAGCTGGTCAGTCACTGGACGGCAGTTTTCGAGAAGAGGGGAAAAAAATCCAGAGAGTATTGTGGCTCATGTCCTTGGAGCCAAAACAGTTAAGTGCAATTTTGTCAAGAGGGCAGAAAGGTGGGAGGGAGGACCTTGGGAAAAAGACTTCTGGGTTTTTCTCCCCACTTAGAGTACTGGGATTTTTCTCAAGGAATGCCTCAGGCAGGTACTTATTCATCCAACAAACTATTACACTGTGTGCCAGGCGTTAGGGGTTCAGGGATGATCAAGGTGGCCAGTGTTGGGGCCACAGGCATTATTCACATAAGAAACCTGGATCAGGGCCTCTGGGTCAGGGAAGCCAGCTGCTCACATTCTCTGTGGGACAGTTTCAGAGCCTGAAGCCAGTACTTTGGACCCAGCCCCTGACCCCTTGGCAGCTACAGTGCATCCAGGAGCTGAGTAGCCAGCGACTGCAAAGGTGAGCCTCCATGGAACAGACCCGAGGGCTCTGTATGAGGAGCAGGGGTCCTGCTTCCCCCAGCTCCACCAAATTTATGGTCAGGGAGGAGGAAAGTGTACAAGGACTAGGGAGGTTTTGGGATGAGAGAATGATGGGTGTGTGTGTGTGTGTGTGTGTGTGTGTGTGTGTGAAGATAATAATAGGAAGAAGGGAGAGAGGGAAGGCCTTGGATAGGAGTCCCAGGGCACAGGAGATGTGACCCTACCTTATACTTCTGGCCACAAGTGTTATCCCTCAACCCAGGCATAGTCCTCTTGGTCTAGGCTCTGGCACTGATAGTCACCTAGCTACCCCCTCTGCAGGATGCCTGTGCAGTATATCCTTGGTGAATGGGACTTTCAAGGGCTCAGTCTGAAGATGGCACAGCCAGTGTTCATCCCGCGGCCAGAAACAGAGGTAGGTATGCCGCCAGGACAGAGCAAGGTGGGAATGCTCCAGACTTCCTCTAGGGGGCGCTCGTGCCCCATTGCTGCTCTTCTTAGAGGCAGTGTCCTCCTAAACTGGTGTCTCCTGGCTGGCTGGATAGGTGGGGCCAAGAGGACAGAGGTCTCCAGCTGGCCTTGACTGTCCTCATATTCAAAGCCACCTCCCCAGTCCCTAGAGCTGGCAGTGGCTCAGGGTGCCCCATCTGGTGCTGCCCACCAAGTGCTTAGCCTTTTTTCATTTCCCTAGGAGTTGTCCCTTCGATCCTTGGCCTACCTAACCCATGGGAAGCAAATGCTCACCTCCTCAGGAGGCAGGCAAAGTGGAGGGGGCTCCAGCTGGATGTCTAGAGGCCCGGTGCAGCTGTGTGACCTCAAGCAGGTCACTGCCCCCTCTGGGCCTGGATGATGAGAGGTTGGGCCTCCAGGCTAGGGAATTTGTAACTTGGTGGTCCTTTTAAATCTACTATCTGGTCAGGTCATCACCTCTGTCCCTCTAATTACTAAGATTGGGGAATGCGTGGCCTCAGCATGCTGTCCTCACTGATTGAGGCACCCTGACCCTGGAAGATGCTTTCTGTGGCTCTTCTTAGAATTCTCTTTGAATTTGTAGGTGGCAGAGCTGGGAGCCAGAGCAGAGCAGGCAGATGGGTCTGAATGAGGCCAGTGGGCAAGCCAGAGGGCACCAGGTTCTGAGAAGGGGTTCTTCTAGCAAGACGCCCAGACACACAGACATTCCTGGGAAAGGTCAGGCTTTGTCTGCCAGCCTTAGCCAGGGACCCAGGGCCCCTTCTCACTTTCCTAGCCTCTCTCTGCCAGTCCAGAAATCCTCACTCCGCTTATCCCCACACCATACGGTGAGAAACCAGGTCCTCGCCTCTCTGCCCAGGGTCAGGGCAGGCGCAGTAGTAAATTTGAGACCTTGCTGAAGTCACAGGGCTGCCAAGGGGAGGCAGGGGGTGGGGAGCATGGAGTCACCACTTGGACACCCTGACTCACGTCAAGGTCCTGTATGTCACATAGGGCTGTCTCATCTAGGGTAGGCTGACCTGGGAAGGAGCTCTGAGACCCAGAGTAGGATGTAGCCTGCCATGTGCAGGCTTTGCCAAGAGTCAGGACATGGAAGCTACCATGATGACCTTTGAGTCCTCTTACAGTTGACCTGGCACCAGCCATGTGTTCCAGGGTTCTGAGTGTAGACTTCAGGCTCCCATGTGCCGCCCCCCTCCCACCCCTTCCTGGCTGGGTCTGGGCCAGGAGAGCAGCTCTGCTGCAGGGTGGCGGGGGGAGGAGGGATGGGGGAGGCTGTGGTTGGGAGGCCAGGTCGTTACCTCACTGTGCAGACATTTCTCAGAACTTGCCAGGTTTGCCCTTACATGAAGCCGCTTTGGGGGGTGCCTTACCAAGAACTCGAGAGGACGTGGCCTGTGGCAGGGAGTGGGGAGAATGGGTGCAGGGGAGGGAGTGTGCTGCTTATGTTCTCTCCATCCACTGAAGGGTGGTTTCTGATAATGGGTGCCGAAGTCCGAACCGCACAGTTGCAGGCATGTGGACTGAGGAGTCGGGTTTTCCCTGGGGGCGGGGAGGGAGCCTAGTCCCGCCTGCAGTGGGCACATGGGAGCCATCCCCCTCAGCCTGGTGGATGAGGCTCTGGGGGCTGTGGGAGGCTCAGTGCCTTGTCTGTGATTGGCTTGAGGGAGGCAATGCCACTGCCCCACCAGGGACATTGTCCTAATAGAGAGTGCTCATGGCACTCAGGCCCTGCCGAGGCCTTGGGCCTACCCCCTGAGGGTGTGTAGAGTCCTGCGGAGGCAGTGGCTCCAGGCAGAGCCAAGGGCTCGTCCCTTGATTACCTGGAAAAGGTGCTGGAGGTGGGGGGGGCTGCGACCAGCTCGGCTTTCACCTCCCCCAAGGAGCCACCAGGTTAGCGTTGAGGGAGGCCCTTCACTGAGTGAGGAGGAGAGAGTTTCTGGACTTCTTGGGGGTGATCTCCACCCCTTCCCCCACCGCAGCCCCTCAGGTTGTCGCATAGCCGAGATGATCCTCCCATGCTCTGGAGTGTAAGGCCACGGGGCACGTGTGGCGGTGTGGCCCAGTCTCTCAGCTTCACACCCTGCCCAGGGTGGCCGTTCACGTATGTGGTGTGTATCTCTGAGGTTGGGGGTGTCTGTGAGGTGGTTGGCTAGTGTGGTCGGCTGAGGGGTCATTCTTCAGCCAGGGTGGGTCTGACGGTGGCCAGGAAACCAAGAGAAGCTCACACCCCCGACAAGTCTCAGCCATCCTGCTAGCCACTCGGTACATGGCCTCACCACTGAGACCGCAGGCTCTTCTCCACAGCCCTAGACTGCTCGCTCTGTGCCAGTCCCAGAGCTGTGGGCCCAGCTTGCTGCCAGCACTCCCAGTCTCCGGCAGTGCTCGGTGCAGGGCCGGTGGGAGCGAGCAAGGGCAGCCCTCTCCAGCTGCAGCCAGGCTGGCTCCTCCATAGGCAGCAGCTTGGAACAGGAGAGGTTCTGGGCAAGTTCTGCCTGCTTTGGACTTTCTATCCTGGGGACAGGTGAGCTTTGCTCCTAGTGTTGGGGTGCCTGGCAGGGTGACATGCTTATTGGGACTCAACCCTGGGGAGCTTATGTGGAAAGTGGGTCTGAGTGATCTGGAGCCCTCTGCTCCGTTGGGGCCTGACTGTTGACATTGGGGGGAGGTGGGGGACACCTGGAGTCTGAGACGCATAGAGTAGCTTCGCACAGCCACTGAGAGGTTGCCCGGCACTTGGGAAGTGGCCAAGAGGCCCCTCTAGGCCAAGCCCTGTCCATGTGGGACATACCGCGATACATTACATCCCTGGTCTTCCTGCCATGGAGCCTGCATCTGGTGGGAGGGGTCCCTGTCCTAGACCCTAGACCCCCGGTGAGGAACACCATGGTTGAGAGAGCCTAGAGGGGTGTCGAGGAAGTCTCTTGCAGAAGGCGGACCTTCCAGATGAAGGAAGCCCACCTGCCAACCCTTCCCCCCCATTCCGTGAGCCAGCCAGACCTGGGCCCTAGGAGTCCTGAGCCTCTAGAGGAGTCTTTCCTGCCCTCATTCAAACAGATGCCTTTGAGAAGGAGCCATCGCCCTTTCTCTGCTCTGTGCCTGGCCACTCGGGCCCCCGACTTTACTGTTGGTTAGAAACTCTTGGCCACTGGGCAGCAGCGGCCCTTCGTGCTTGCCTCCGCCCTGTGCTGGCTTTCATGCACAGTCCCTGCAAGGGGCAGATGGCTGGGTGAGATTCAAAACCCTGTTGTGTCCAAAGTGACAGTGTCCACAGGTGTCCCCCTGCTGCCAAGGTGGGTACAGTGCAGTCAGGCACCTCCCAGCCCACTGACCCCATGCTCTATGTATGCCACAGCCCCCTTCAGATATGGGCTCGGGCAGGACCATGTTGTCCCCTCCGAGCCTCACCTCCCACAGAGGGAATTCTTTATCCCTTTGGCCTAGGAGCCTCCTGGGGGCCTCCTAAGCTCAGCTCTGTTTGGAAGCTGGGGACACTCCAGCCCCTGATAATTAGCCACCATGAGCTGCAGGCCAGGCTCCAGGTGGGGCCTTGACTCCTGGGCCTGAGTGTCCTCATGGCCAGTCGTGAGGCCCCATCAGATTACTACAGGGAAAGCTCTGCACGTAGGGCCAGGCACAGAGGGTGTGGCCTGGGACCAGCGGGCACAGTTCTTAGAATTGCAGTGAGCACAAAACAGGAGGATCTGTGACGGGCTTAGCTGGACACTTATGTACCGTGTGCACGAACCACGTACCCAAGTACCACACGCTTCATGAACGGGGTTCTGTTTACTCCCCACCGCACCCTGACGAGGTGGGTTGTGTTCAACAGTGCTCTAGTTTACAGGTGGGGAAACAGGTGTGGAGAGGCAGAGTGACCTGCCCATGGCCCCGGCAGAGAGGAAGTTCAGTCTGGCTTTAGCCACCCCGACTTCTGCATCCACACAGGGGCTAACTATGCTCGTGTCTCTGTGCCAAGACCCCTAGGGGCCAGGTTGGCACCAACTCTGATCCAGATCCTTCTGCCTTGCAGGAACTGGTTGAATGGGTACTGGAGGAGGTGGCCCAGAGGCCCCGTGTGATAGGAACCCAAGGCGGACCCCTCATCCTGGAGGTGGGCTGTGGCTCGGGCGCCATCTCCCTCAGCCTGCTGAGCCACCTCCCCCAGGTGAGCTGCCTGGGCATCCTCTCCCCAGTCCTGGGCTGGTGCTCACTGTCCCTGCCCGACCCGTCTCTGCTGGAGGCACCGTGGTCACAGCCTTTGACTCTCATCCCCTTTTGTCTGGCCAAAGAGAGGGGAAAGCTGTGGATATTTCCCTCCTCTTCTGGCAGGGGGTTGGAGGACAGCCCTGGTCCCTAGGCCTGGCTTCTCTCAGCACCCTGTCTTTCATGTACCCATCATTTGTTCTTGGGACAGAGCCAAGTCATTGCTGTGGATAAGGAAGAAGCCGCCATCTGCCTGACCCATGAGAATGCTCAGAGGTAGGTGGGCTGGGGGAACAGAGGGTCAGGGTAGGGGGAACTGGACTCAGACCTGATCCTTGCTTCTATCCAGGTATCAAAGCCACCGATGTCCACCCCCAAGGATGGGGAGGCACTGGGGGCAGCCTGGCGTGGCTCCCACAGGGTTAGAATGGGCGGTGGGCACAGGGGCCTTGTGGTCCATGGAAGGTTTATCCCCAGTGCCTGCAGCATGGTGGACTCTGCCCCCCACACTCACCTTACCTTCCCACCTCTCCAGGCTTCGGCTGCAGGACAGGATTCGGATCATCCCCCTCGATGTGACCTCAGGTACCTTCCACTGTGGTAGGGATCCTGGGGGCAGTTGCTGCTGGGCGGGTGAGGCACTCTGCAGAGCTGGAGGGAGGGCTTTCCGACATTTATTCACGCACATGCACACGCACACGCACACGCACAGGGCTATCTCAGACCAATTCTTGCTGAGGACAGGCAAGTCCCTCTTGCCTCCTGGGCTTACCTGACCCACGGTAGGACCGGGCACAGAGTCTTTCTTATCTTCTGACTCTCTCATAACTCATGAGTTATCTCGGGCTTGCTTGTTGTCAAGAGATAAACAGAAGCTCAATAGACTGCATTTAGGACCAAAATACTTGAATGCACCTTTGTCCCCGCCTGGCTCAGGCACGGCACTGCTCGGTCGCAGCCTTTACAGAGTGTCCTTTGGGTTCTGGCTCTAGTTCTGTCTCTATCGCATAAATGCAGGACCCTTGAGCCTCATGTGCCCCCTCCATGGAATGTGATGTACCGGGTATAGCACCTGGCACAGGGTGGGACCTGTAAACAAAGCCACCGGGAATGGACTGAGGCCAGGGCTGCCATCCATAGTCAGTCCGTGTCGGCTGTGAGGCAGTGTGACAAGGCCTGTGGGGCTGCAGGAGGCAGAGGCTGTTGCTTTGCCCAGGCAGTCAGAGGCCAAAGGTGGCACTTGAGCTGAATCTTGCTTATCGAGGAGGTTTTTGACAGGAAGAGGGGAGGGCAAGGACATTCTAGGTGAAAAGCTACACACTCCCTGCCAGACTGCTGGCTGGGGACCCTGGGCACTGGTCTGCACATCTGGCTTATCTGGTCCAGAGACAGGCCCAAGGTATGGCTTGGGAAGAGGGACCACCCAAGGGACGTGGTGGTGGGTGGAGCCGCCTCCCTTTACTTCTCGTTCTCTGCTGTGTTCCCTTCGACCACAGAGGGGAGCTGGGCGCACCTTCTGTCCTGGGGCCCCGTGGACCTGGTCGTCAGCAACCCTCCGTATGTCTTCAGCCAGGACATGGAGCAGCTGGCCCCTGAGATCCGCAGGTGCGGGGTTAGGTGGGACAGGGAGGCCAGGCCGGAGAGGCCTAGTGGGATGGGTTTGCCCTGGAGGGCCACACCCTCCCGAGGGATGGGGAGTGTGGGAAGAGGGCCGAAAGGGCTGTGCTGCTGAAGGAGATGCTCACTCTAGAGCCCACGCGCTGAGGGCTCAGCTGCTGCCTTCCCATGGAAGACCACCGGACCTTTCTGCACCTCGGTTTTCTGCCCGTGAAAGGGGAGGGCTGGATCTTTGCAGGGCTTTGGGGGTACTCAGCGACGACGAAAATGCCAGACAGAGTGCAGCATGCATAGAAGGTGCTCAGATGGGTGTCATTTTACGGAAGACTGAGGCCCAGAGAGGGAAGGTGCCTCGTCCAAGGTCGTGTGGGGGCTTCGCAGGGAAGCTGGGATTAAGACACCCTACTCCAGGCTTTGCACTGAGCCATCTGCTCTCAGATGGGCTGAGACCCAGGGGTAGCCAGGAGCCCCCAGATGAGGCAGTGGTAGTGTGGGTCAAGGTGCTGGCTCCCTCCCTCCCAGCTCCCCAGGGTGGTCGGGGCCAGCTCTAGGCCTCCCCAGACCAAGAGGAGAAACAGCCTCATCGTGGGGAGACAGTCTTGCCGTGGGGGCCGTCAGTCGGGGGGTTCACGGAGTACACGCGGCACGGCTGGTGTGGGCCACCTGCGGTCATTCAGGGCCCCTCCTCTGGGTCTTCGCGTTCCTCTCAGCCTGGAGTATAAGTTCCCTGGGGTGCCTTCCATGGAAGCCCCGCTCAGCTCTCTCACTTTGCAGACACCCCCCGTCTCAGGCTCTCACCTCCCACTGCTTCCCCTGCAGCTACGAAGACCCCGCAGCCCTGGACGGCGGGGAGGAGGGCATGGACGTCATCGCACACATCCTGGCCCTGGCGCCTCGGCTCCTGAAGGACTCTGGGTAAGGGTGGGCGGGTGTCCTGCTTCTATCCTCAGCAGCCGCCTCCCCTCCCAGTGTGTCCTGGGCATGCCCTGGCCGTCATTCTGCCCCGACCCCTCCCAGCCCCGGCAGCCCCAGAGTGCAGGTCCCAGCTCTGCCCGGTTGAGGTGACCCATGTCTCCCCCATGTAGAAGCGTCTTCTTAGAAGTAGACCCAAGACACCCAGAGCTCGTCGGCAGCTGGCTTCAGAGCCGGCCGGACCTGTCCCTCAATCTTGTGGCTGTGCGCAAGGACTTCTGTGGGAGGTAAGACTCTCCCCTCCCCGCAGCCCCCGCAGCTGGGCTGGCCCTCCACTTCGGGCCATCACCGCTCCAGCTGTGGGGAGAATGTTCTATTCCCACTTTCTGCTTATTCTCCGGGGCCCAGGCAGTGACAGGCACCTTGTCCCCGTCTCCTTAGGCCCCGGTTCCTTCACATTCGGAGGTCTGAGGCACAGCATGGCTGCCATGCAGACACCTGACCAGGGCCCCAGCTGCCAGAGTGCCTGGCTGACACTTCTTCCTGGAACGCTCCTTGGAGGGAGGTGGATGATGCTGTCCAGAACCCCAGTTGCTTGTGGCATTTTCCGTGGCTCTGGGATTCCCCGTGATCTACATTCATAGGTGATTTGGGGCAGAAGCAAGGGCAAGGCTGTCCTTCCTGGGCAGCGAAGAGCAGTCCGGCTCAGGATCTGAGCAGACCCAGATTCCCAGGCTGGTTCCGTCACATGAGTGTGGCCAAGGCAGGTCGCTCAGGGTCTGTGGGTGGAACTGCCCTGGAGACGTTGGGCGATGTGGCCAATAAAGTGTTGAAAGACCGACAAGTGGTGGCCTAATGTCTTATCACCGTGATTTGTGGGTCCCCCAGCCCCTCGACCCCAGGCAGCGTTGGGGTAAGAGCTTCCTTCTGCCCCGGCAGCGTGGCCTGGGAGAGCCGTGCGGAAGGCGCACGGGGCTGCTCCTGGCCTAGGCGCGCTTGCTCCGAGGGTTGGCCTTGCCCTCCACTGCCCTGGGTGTGCTCCGCACCCCTCCCTGGCAAGGTCTAGGTGCCGAGCACAGGAACCCCATCTGCGCTTCGGCTGGGGGCTGGCCGCCTGCTTCCTGAAGGGGACGGGGCTGAAGGTCCTTGCGGTACAGTTTGGGGACACGTGTCCACACTCAGTTAACTGAGGGCTTGAGCCAGTGAGGGGTGAGCAGAGCATCTGTTTACTTTTTATTCCCATGGCTTTTAGCTGAGACATCCCTTTCAAGTTGGTCATAGGGTTTCACTTAAGCCGTCTGTCTCTGGTTGGGGCTGGAGAGAGTGAGACGCTGAGAGAGTGGGCACCAGGTTGTCACCTCCGCCCCGGCTTTGGTCTGTGCAGATTCAAGGCTCCCAGGAGGCCTGAGGGCCCAGTCCTCCTGTCCACAGGGACAGGAAATCTCCAGGTTGGCAGGCGCTGGTGTGAGCCTGCGTCAGGGTGGGTCCTGAGGAATGTGGCAGACCAGGCTGGCTCATCTGCCAGGCCACTCCTCCCCTACCCCCAGCACCTTTGTGGGCCTGACCTGGTGGTACAAGGGCCAGAGGCGGTGCGGTCAGGTGACAGCATTCTCCGCTGGGGCCAGGATGCTGGGTTCTGGGGCTGTGTCTTACAGTGGGACCTTGGGCAGCTCCTTTCCTTACAGGGAGCTGGCCTTTTGGTTCCAGTACAGAGCAAGGTGGCAGCCTCATTTTCCTGTCAGCTAGGTGGTGTGTAGCTGGCATCCGAATGCCCACTCCCCATGGTGGGAGGTGGCTAAGTGGAGACTGGAAATTAGGTCACTGCTTTTGGGGAGTCTGGATTATTGGGGTCACACCTGGCCTGAATGACTCATGCTGTGGCTGGGAGTCACTTTTGCCTCAGCAGAGGCCACACGGTAGCTCCCAGGGCCCCGGAATCCTGCCCCTTGGCCAGCCCCAGCGGCGTGAACCCCAAGCTGCCCCTGTCTTCCTCTGAAGAGAAGGCGTGGACTCTACCTCACGGCAGCTCCAGAAGGAGCCTGGGAGGGCCGGTCGGGCACAGCCAGAGCGAGATCCCGGCATTCCGAGCTCCCTGTGCTCCTAGACCTTTGTCTGCCAAGGTCCTCACCAGCATCGCCCTTGCTCTCCTCCTGCCTGTGCCCTTTGGCTCTTGCTGCCTCCAGTGGCATCTCAGGTCAGCTTCTCTGACCTAGCATTCTGCTGTCCCCTTGTCCCACAGCCTGAGCCACACCTCAGCCAGTGCTGGCATCCCTGATGCTTGCTCTCAGGCCCCTCACTGAGGGAAGGCCTTGGCAAGCCTGTGGGTATGGCACCCCCAGAGAGCATAATGATAGAGACTGACAGCATAGGCACAGCTGGGGCCACTGAAGCAGGAGCCACCCTTGAGAACAACTTCCTTCCCAGAAAACCGTGATGTTTGACTCCCCTGGGAAGGAGGTCCAGGCCAAGTAGACTGGCAAGGCGGGGCCTCAAGCCTGCAACCCCTGGCTTGATGGGGCCTTGGACGTTCAGCTTGGAGGTTGGAGCCGCACCAGCCTGGGTGCAGATCTTGGCATCTGCCCCTCACCAGGACGTGACCTTGGGCAGATGCCTTCATCTCCCTCGGCCTTGGCTTCCAAGCCTCAGCCATCTACTTCTCAACCGCTGCCCTAAACTCTTGGCTTGCTCCCCATGACCCGAGTGTGGTGTCTACATCCTGCAGAGCCCAGGTCTGAAGAGGCAGAGGAGGATGGCTATGGAAAGGCCCTGGGGACCCCTCCCGAGGCCCCTCGGTGCTGTGAATACGCTCCCATCAGAACGAGGGCCTCTACCGCTGCCAGGCTTGGAGGAGCGCTACAGCCTCTGCAGGCCCGTGTGTCTGCCCTGTCTACTTCTGGATTCTTCTCTCCACTGCCCTGGACTCCACGCCTCCTGCAGAACTCCATTCCCTAGCCACGCCTCGCCCCCTTTGCCCATCTCAGACAGTGCATCTGTCAGGAGTGCCCTTGCCTACCCCTGCCAACCAAATGATCCTCTCCTTCAAGCTCCGGCACTAACTACCTCTGGAACAGCACGCCCTGACCTCTGTTCTCTCTCTCAGCCAGCACCTGCTCAAACTTCGGCCAGCTCCGATGGCGTCCTGCCCCTTGCAGTTGGAAACCTTCCTGTCTTCTCGTCTCTTTGGGGCTCCGTGCGGTCTGGCATACCCCAGGCTTAGCAAATGTCCACCAACAAGCCAGCAGCGTGTACATTTTCTAGAGTGGAGCTGGAACTTCCCACGTGGCTCACATCCGACCTGACAGCAGCTCTCGCATGTTCTGGTCAGCAGGGAGAGGAAGCCATGAAGGCCTGCCTCCCACCCGAGCCGGGCAGCTGTTTGAGTTGAGCCATGGCCACTTTCTGGGATCAAGTGCACCTGATCTCTGCATGGTGGCCTCGCCAGGAGCACAGGCTGTCCTTGGCGGCAGCAGGGGCAGGCGCCAGGTTTCCTGGAGCTCTGGGCCCCAGCCAGCTCCCAGCCAGCCCCCAGCCAGAGTGTTGGCCAGAACAGTGAGTGGCCTGATCACCCCTTATGACCCCTCAGTCCTGGACAAGCCCTGTAGACGTGGCTTGGGACTGGCAAAGCAACCCTACACCTCCTGCGGTGGGCAGAATAATGGCCTCCAGAAGTTCCCCGACCTGTGAATGTGTTTTCCACATGGTGAAAGGGACTTTGCAGATGTGATGAAGGATCTTGAGATGAAAGACTGTCCTCGATTATTCGGGTGGGCTCGGTGTATTTGCAAGCGTCCTTATAAGAGAGAGGCAGGCGTGTCAGAGTGAGGACATGTGATGATGGAAGCAGAGGTCAGAGTGAGGCAGTTGCCGGAGGAAGCGGGCAGCAGCCGAGGAACGCAGACGGTCTCTAGACGCTGGAAAAGGCCAGGAAGTGGATTCTCCATCAGAGCCTCAAGAAAAAATGCAGTCTTGCCAACACCTTGATTTTAACCCAGTAAAACTGATTTTGGGTTTCTGATTTCCAGAACTATAAGATAATAAATTTGTGTCATTTTAAGCCACTAAATTTGTGGTAATTTGTTAAAGCAGCAGTAGGAAACTCATGCCAATTATGGTACCCAAAGTGAAGAGCTGCTCTAACAAATACCAAAAACTGGAAATGACTTTGGAATTGGGCAGAGACTGGAAGCATTTTGAGGTAATGATAATATTGGCTTGAACACTTCTCCTCCGAGGAGGGAGGTGGCTGGGGCAGGGGATGGCGCACCATCCTCAACCTGGAGACCTGAGCTGCTGAGACCCTCTATCCAAATGTCTGACATGGTAGAACTGGCCCGTGGAGTGAGAGCACTGGACGGCTGCCCAGGGTGGGCCCCAGAGAGGCTGGCCCCGGGCACTGGGAGCGGGTGGGGAAGGGAGCAAGGCTGGCCTCCACGGCCCATCTCCAGTGGCATGGGGGTCACCAAGGCCTTCATAGAAGATCTCGGAGCCTGGATCCAAGCCTGGTCTTGGCCCCCATGGAGTCACATGGCTGGCCCAGCACTTCCTGAGCGTGTGAGGATGAGCAGGGTGTGACAGTGAGCACTTCCTGGGTTGCAGGTGCCACATCTGTGAAATGACCACAGCAGCCCCTGACTCCAAGCTAGTGGGCCTGTGTCCCCCACATAAGCTGTGAGAGTTCGGCTCCTTCCAGCCACCAGGCCGTCAGTGCCCAGCCCCTATTACTGGCCTGGACTGGGCTGTGTGGCTGGGATAGAATTGGGTCATTCCTGGGATTCTCAGCCTCATGATCCCCAAAGCTGAAGTGACCAGAGCCTTCGACCCTGTCCCCTTCCAGTCTGGGACCAGGGACCTACTACAGATGAGGGGTCTCAGGGGTTCTGGAGGCCCCATCCCACTTCGCCAAGGCCTGGGCTCCTGAAGCCACAGGGCCAACTTAGGAGCCACGTGGAGAGCTACTGGAGGCCAGACCCAGGCCGATGGGCCTCATGCTGGTCTGAGAACTGAGACTCTGGGGAAGAGACAGTCTGGACACCTACATTCAAAGGTCAGCCTAACCCCGAATCCCCTGATATGCTTTGGATGGAGCCAAGAAGGCCTGTTTGTGTTGGAAGGAGTGGACTGTAGCAAGTCGTATGTCCATTTTCTGATCCTTCCTTTTTCCAGAGAAGCCAGTTTCATGGCTGACATCAGCCATATTAGCGCAGCTGCAGCTCATGGGGGGGTGCGTGTGGCCAGATCTGGGTCCCCTCTGAAGCCCTGGCAGTTGTGAGGAGAGCAGGGTTCCTCCTCCAATAATGAGCAAGCACCGCCCCCTCTGAAAGAACTGGCTATGCACGCCCCCCACCCCCAGAAGGACCTTTGGGCATCTTTGGCCTCATAACCAGGAATCAGATGTGCAAGAGTTTCAAATTCCAAGACCCTTCCCCTTCCAAAGACACCCTCAGACCATCCTGCCAGAAGAGGGTCGGAACCAGCCAATGTCACAGTTCACAGAAGGGAAAGGCATGGGAAGCCCGCCTCAGCCCCCCTGGGGACCCTGACTAAGGCTTAGCCATGGCTGAGGGGTGGGGGTGAGATGGCTCAGAGCAGCTCTGCCCCATGGCAGGTGGCCTGGCTGCGTGGCCCCTTCCCAGGAGCTGAGGTCTCTCCCAGACACTCGGCCTCTCAGAGCAGGGGATGTCACCTTATTGCCCGCTGCTCTGCTGGGTCTGTAACCCTCCTGGGGCATGCATCTGGGGGAGCGGGAGGTCAGATAGCCCAGCTTCCTGAGCCCAGGGAGCAGATCGTGGGGGCTCGAAGCACCCACAAAGATCCCTGTGCTACAAATGAGACAACTGAGGCTCA